CAATGTTCATGGCATATTATCTTTATTTAACCTAAAAAGGTTTAAATGATTTGATTTGCTGAAGTTCCCAAAGCCAAGTGAGGAGGCTGGCAGATAATGTGGGCTCAGGAAAAGAGAAGAAAGCAGGTAACAATGTAGCTTGTACTCCAGGACTAGAAGCTTGTGCTTTGTTCTGATGTGGACACTTTGGGGGCTTCCTCAGTCATTTCCCTGCTGCCTCTAGGAAGAAGCCTCAACTCCTGGGAATGGTGGTGAAGACCTTTCACCATTTGGCCCACTTTATCCTCCAGCCTCATCTCCTACCTCTGTTTCTCCCCAAGCTCCAGTCACATTAGCCTCCTCTGTGTTGTCTGAACACTCTAACCACACACACCAAATACAGTCTCCTCTACCTTCTGCTTTCTCTTGGTGAGCTTCTATTCATCCTTCAAAGCCTGGCTTAAATATCACCTCTGTGAAGCCTTTCCTTACCGTCTTTTGTGCTCCTTACTTTTGCCTTCTAGCTATGTTGCAGGGCCCATCCCATTGTATAGCCCGCCTTTTTTCATTTCCCTTTCTAAACAGGGAGCTCCCTGAGGCCACTGCCAGTTCTGATCCTGCTCTGAATCCCCAGTACAGTACCTGACGAAAAGTAAGCACTCTATAGCTGGGTGCTGAATGTGAATAAATGGACAGGAAGGGGCGGGTCTTTGACATTGAAACACCTTGATCCTACCCACCTCTTTCTTCCTGGAAGGACTGACATTGAAAAATTATTCATCTACAGAGAAACTCATGCCTGTCCTATTTCTTGGAGTAGAAATTCCTTTCATCTTCTCTTGTTTCCTTGCCTGGCTCTGGCTACTTGCTGCTAGCCTCTCTTGGCTCTGGCATCTGTCTCCTTGCCAAGATATCTACTCACTGCCCACTGCTGGATCTTCATGATGGGCTGGCCTGCTGCACAGCCCTGTTCAGGCTGGTACTGACCATCTCTGGTGATTTGGGTGTCCCTGTTAATTAAGTCTCTGCAATCTAAGTAGCCACAGATACCCCTTCACCTAGCATGACTGATTCCCTGGTATCCTGACTGAGGAAGCTTCTGGTGAATGAATAACAGACATCTATCTGTATATCTGCTTTTCTGTGGTCATGTAGACATAGGTGCCTCTGCCGTTCTGGGTTTTCCAATTCTCCAGGCTCCCAGCACTTTGAAAATTAGGGAGCGGCCAGACCCACTATATGAGTACTTCGTTAATTATAAAATGTTACTGTATCCCATACAACATTGCCCTTGACTAAGAGAGGCTATAACCTGATGCCATTGGAATTCATTGGACTTATCAGGTATTATGTTATTTAGAGCATCTAGATATAGAACAATGGAATGAACAATTGATGACTCAGCTATGCCAGGTTGGGTGCCGGCTGCTCTGCTGAGTACTATATAGGCTTTAAATCAACAATCTATATAATTATTTGTCTTTTGTAGCCAGAACATACATGAAGAGGTCGAGGTAGGTGTGGCACCTTACCATGATTTTGCCTAATGACTTTCTCAAAGAGTTTACTTCCTGTCTCTGACATTCTAGATTCCGTAGACCAAGAGGTTTCAGCATCTAGGGAGGAATGTTTCCAATCAGGGAACACAAAGATGATTCTATTGCATTTCTAGCTTCTCATAATACTAGAGGAATAGAAGAAAGGAGGTCATAGTATAGGCTGGACTGATAAAGGGGAAATAGAGTTGCTACTACTTAATGGGGGTTAAAAGTCATGAGTCGGTGCTCTATTAATCAGGATTCTTTTGATTGCCAGTGAAAGAAAGTCCCCTCAAGTTATGCATGGCAAAATAAAGGTCTTATTGAAAGGTATACAAAGGCCTCAGGACACAGGGACTGGAACATCACCAGGACTTGTCTTTTGTCTCTGCTTCTGTGTGTCAGCATCATTTTCTCCGACTACAAACTGACTTCTACTCATCAAGGAATGTGAATGCTATAGCCCTAGGCTCATATCTTCCCTCCTGTGTCTTTAATTTTATTTCAGAAAGTTGCAGAGAAGGACTCTGACTGACTCATCTGGAGTGGAGAATCCTATCTCTGGACTCATCAGTCTCCCATTTTACCCACATGGTTAGAATTGGGAGAGATAGAGCCAAAGGAGAGGTGGAAACTGTTCTGGGCCCACCCATTAGTCAGATTACATTATGGCTTTATGGAATGGGAAGCTCTATATAACTCTAGACCACTGAAGCCCAGAGCCTGTAGGAGTGAGGATTTGGATCACCTCATTAGGAAGAAAACTCTGGCGAAAGGCAACGGAAACTTGTAGAGGATAAAGGAAAAGGCAAGACTAGTTAGGCCTGAGGACCTAATGTAAAAATAGGGCTGAGGTCTCTGCCTATATCTTCTTAGCTGGAAGAGTGTCCAAAGGTTGAATTACTTTTGCCTTCTCCTTTTTGTTTCCTTTTCTCTCTTAAATTATGAGTTGTCTTAATCGTAGGATTCCCCCAGCCTTCCGTTTTCCTTATTTTTGTACCCGGGATTCGTTGGCATGGTTTAATTTGGCATTTAGTCTCTAGGTTGCAGAATGAGTTGGAATCAAGTTGAAACTGGAAGAGGATGCCATATCATTGAGATCACAGACTGGAATTTTTCCTCATTAAAAAACAACAACAAAAAACCACCACCACCACTACCACCAACAAAAACAGCAAAAGAGAGAGAAGAGGGAAAGACAAGGTATTTTAAATGTATTATGATTCAAAGATGAATCCATATTAGTTTAGTTTTGAAATGGGGCGTGGGCGTACATGAAGAAGGTGGAGCCAATTGCATAGTTTACTCAGTAAAATGGGGGTGTGGAAGGGACCTCCTGGAAGCTTATGTGCCTGGAAGGCTAAATTTGTCCAGTCTTTCTGGGGCTGCGAGGGAAAGACAAGGTATTTTAAATGTATTATGATTCAAAGATGAATCCATATTAGTTTAGTTTTGAAATGGGGCGTGGGCGTACATGAAGAAGGTGGAGCCAATTGCATAGTTTACTCAGTAAAATGGGGGTGTGGAAGGGACCTCCTGGAAGCTTATGTGCCTGGAAGGCTAAATTTGTCCAGTCTTTCTGGGGCTGCGCTTTCTATCATTAAAGTCAGCCATTACTCTGTTCTTTTGATTGCAAACTGGACCCCCAAACTATACCCCAAAGAGGAAGGGAATGAGAGGATCAGGCTTCGGTAAGTAGAAACTGAGAAGAGCTCACTGCACTGGGGTCACGGAGGTCTATCATTAAAGTCAGCCATTACTCTTTTCTTTTGATTGCAAACTGGGCCCCCAAACTGTACCCCAAAGAGGAAGGGAATGAGGGGATCAGGCTTCGGTAAGTAGGAACTGAGAAGAGCTCACTGCACTGGGGTCACGGAGGTGTTCCCTGCCCTATGGGAAGCCACCCTGGCCTGGGGACAGTAGCCCAATGCTTGTCTCAAAGCAGATTTTCTTTCTTCTCTTAAAAATGTAGCTCTCACTCAAAAACAAAAAAACAAACAATCCAATTTAAAACACGAGCAGAAGACATGAACAGATACTTCTCTAAAGAGGAAATATAGATGGCTAACAGACATATGAAAAGATGCTCAAGGTCGCTAATCATCAGAGAAATGCAAATTAAAACCATAATGAGATATCACCTCACATCTGTCAGAATGGC